TAATCTTCTCCACTTTCAAGAAGTTCAATATAATTATTTGAAAGATTTTGAAAAAATTTATTTGACATAATCGTAAAAGCTTAGCGTTAGTACGTACACTGTAATTTAGTACGTATTTGATTAACAGTTATTATATACATTTTTTTAAGATAACACATCTACCCAATTAGTAAGTTCATGACATGAGTAATACAAACTCCTAAAGGCAAATAATCCAATCAGAGATTCAAATGTTGACTCCGAACACGTGCTAAAGAATACTCGATATTGTGAAACCCAGAACGTGACCTGGAGTGAAGGGCAATCCCGGAAGATCAACGATCCGGCGTAGTACAGTTTCGATTTCTTCGATTTATTTTATTTCTTCGATTTATTTTATTGAAAATAACTATAATTCACCGGGGGGAAATCACCGGTTACATATGACGATCGTTTCTATTACATAATTTATTTATCTATTATGTGCATAAATCTATTTTGACAGATGTAGGTGATCGGAGATTCAATTTATACAAATAAATAGAAGTTCAATCAATACACGATCGAACTCTTTTTCGCTTATTAATTTGATCTTGTTAAGCGATCAAAATTTATTAAAAATTAACGTTGGTAACACGTGCATATTAAAAGTGAAGGCGCGAATACTATCAATTTAGTTTCATTAAACAGTTAACACCAGTGACGCGAGTACAATAAAAGTGAATACAAAAATATATCAACTTAGTCTTGCTAAATGGGTAACACCAGTGACAGGTATGTTAAAGTCAGGTATTTTAAAGGCGGGTGTGTTAAAGTGATAACGAAAGTATGAGAAAATAGATGCATGTACTAGGGAACAGCTTTGAGTAGATTTATAGTTGTGCGATATTAACTAATCTTCATTTTTTTAGTTACGGAGCTATTCAACGGTACTGAATCCATTTTTGCAATTGATGGAGCAGTAAATGAAGAGTCAAATGAATCATTAAATGAAGCAATGATCGAAGATTATCAAGATAGTATTAGTCATGGTTATTAAGGTGATATTAATCACGGTCCTCAAGATGGTATTAGTCACAGTTATCAAGGTGATATTATTCACAGTTATCAAAATAGTATTAGTTACAAACTCGCATTTGACACAGACTCTTCTGATGAAGAATCAGATGTTTCTTTACTTAAAATAGCTATATGTTAAGCATTTCTATTTGATGCTACGTGGTGAATTTCCTAAATATAGACTATTTTTGGCTGATAAGTTTTGTTGTCTTTTCTTTTTAATAATTTTAGGTTAGTCTTTTGATAGTTGGGGCAATGTTGAGAATTTCTTAAATAAGTATAGGTTAGAGAAAGGTTTTAGCATCCGTAAAAGATAAACTGAAAATTGAATAGAAAATGGTAATAAAGTTTTATGTAAACTTAGCTGGGAGTGTAGTTGTGTGAAGAAGTACTATGCAAAGAAGGTATTAAATCTTAATGATCAAAGAAATTGACAGTCTAGGGAAACAGATTGTGAATGGAAAGTAAATACAAATCTTTCAAAAAGTTTATCACTAATTACTTTCTATAACTAATATTGCTAAATATCAAAAACTTGGTAATGATATAGTTGAGTTTATTGAATTTTGCATACATCATAGTGTAACTAGTGCACAAAGTATTGGATATCTTTTAAGAAAGAAGTTTCCTAGAAGGAAAGTCTATAAAAAGAGTCTTTACAATTCAATTTAAATAGCAAAAGAAAAATTAATAATTCGAGTTGAATTCAACATATCAGATCTTATAAAGTATTTATATTCATAGCAAGCTGAGGATTCATGTTGGTTTGTAGAGGCAAATTTGAGAAGAAGTGTCTACTATGTGAATTAGTATGGTTATCACCTGAGCAACAAAATTTATAGATCTACTATTATGATATTATTTTTTTTAATACAACATCTTGCACTAATAAGTACAATATGATAGCTTATTTTTTTGTTATAATTGATAATTGTAATCAAATATGGCTTGTTGCTATTGCATTATTTGAAGATGAGAAAGAGTATAGTTTTGTTTGGGTATTAAAAATAATCAAAAAGTGCATAAAAATTTAATATCAAAAGTTGTATTTATAGATTCAGATCTAGCAATGATTAATACGATAAATTTGGAATTTCTAAATTCTATTTATTGTCTATATATATTTCACATTGATCTTTATTTAAAAAAAATCTTAGAAATAGGCTAGGTTTTGTAGAGTTTAAGGAGTTTTGTAAGGCTTTTTTTAAGTATAGAAATATATTAGTTTCAAATGTTTTTGAAGGTTAATAGAAAAGTCTAAAAGCAAAATATATATCAATTAGTAGTTATATAAGATAATAGCTAGAGCTATTTAAACATAAATAGGCTATATACTATACAAACAATTAATTTAATAGGTTAAAAGTTTAAATCATAAAATTCATTATCATGTTTAGTTAAATTTATTACTTTTAAACTTGACAAAAGAAATTCAAAAATTACTTGATAAAAAATCTGAGTATATGAGTTAAAGAATATAAAAAACAAATCTCTATAACTAGTCTTTTAACTATTATAAATATCTACTTTAATTCTATTAAGAAGGTTATTTTACAATATCTCTTATCTCAAATAGTATTTACTATATGTAGACAAATACAAGAATATTTTTGTTATGATAGTTTTTAAATAGATAGATCAACTGTTGATCATATAACACAAGTTAAGTACAGTATTAATTTTTAAGTAACAAAGTATATATAATATAAAAATTTAACAGTATCTTAATTTTTAAACTAGAAAAATAGAAAATTATATTATCAAACTATTGAGATCTATTTCAATAATTTATAATGTAGTTTTTTATTTTAATTAGACTCAAAGATCATAATACTACTAAATTTTTGTACTATTACTTTATAAATTTTAAATTTTTTTATTTATACTACTAAAATATTTTATATAGTCTAATAGAAGCAAGTAAAAGTTAATAATATTAAGAGAGAAGATCTGATAATCTTAGTGTAGTGATTAGATTACTAAATCACTATATAAGAGGTCTGGGGTTCAAATCCTACTGTTGATGAATTTGAATAATTACTCAGACCTTTGTACTTAAATTATAGTAAACTTTGTTCATTTCTGGAATTGTAACCCTATAAATCATATTGCACCAATATTATTCAGATATTAGAAATATGAAGAAGTATTCAGAGAGCATAATATTACATGAATAAATCTTAATAGGATCTATAGTAGGGGATCTGCATAGTAGAAATCCCAAGTTGGTAAAGTAGTATAGCTTTTGATAGTTATACCAGCTAATACTTAATTCATAAAGAAAACTATTATCAAAGATGCAGATCAAGTCAGATATATATAAATTTATTCTACAGGGAGAATTGGTAATACCAACTTGGCTTAGTAGCTAACTAGATTAGAAAAATTTGTCTTATGAAGCATCTGTGAAGATAGCATATAGAAAACTAGTAGAGAGTTATAATAAAAACTGAGATTGTATGAATATCTACAAGGGTCTAAGCTAGGTAAATTCATAAAATAGATATGGACCACTCTAGTAGGTATACTTCTAAGATTAACTAGAGCTCTGTGGCTCATAATATATTAGGTATATATATTCTAAGAGAATCTAAATCATGCAGTAAATAGATCTACAGGAAAGTTAGCTGGCTTAAGTAGTCAGTTATAGTAGTGATATTAGTTTGGAATAGGGAAGAGTTAATGATCATAGTGTTTAAATAAGTAATCTACAAGCAGGTTGCAGGTATAGCAGCATAGTATAGAACTAACAGATGATTGATTATCTATATAGTGAACTACTTAAATTAGATAATGACTAAAGTTATATATATAGCTTGTTATACACTTATCATATAACTATAAAACCTTAGAAGTCTACCTTAGGGTAGTTTTATAATAACAAATTAATAAAATCTAATCAGCAAAGAAAGCCACCTTAATAATAATAATAATAATAATAATAATAATAATAATAATAATAATAATAAAAAAAAAAAAAAAAAAAAAAAAAAAATATTAGTAAGAGAGTATGAGAAGATAATTACAAAGTTAAAAAATTTATCTCACAGATATTATATCAATAAATAAGCAAGATCAGATTGTAGAAATTTGAAAAGTAGTTATATTATATAGTTTTAAAAATAATTATATTATAGAAAATTACTATAAATTACTACTGATGATTATCACTAGTGTTACAAGTATTACATGTATAATATAATATTACATATTTTGTATTATAATGATTTTTTATTACTAATTAGCTTCTTTTAATTTATGTTTATTATTTACATTTGAATTCAAATTGTACTAACTTTTTATCTTTAACTTGTCTGCTTCTTTTCACTTTAGCTATACTCTCTTACTTCCTTGGCTTTAACAGTAACTAATACTTTATATAGCAATGTATCACATACTATAACAACTACAATTTAGCAATTCACAGTCAAATTCAATCTATACAGATTTCTTGCCTTTATTATACTTCTGTTATATATTTTCTTTAACTTATAACGTTACTTTTCTTGTGAATTCATTTTTTTATAAAGCTATACTAACTAATAAGTTCTCTCTTCACTTACAGTAATTGCAAAGCCAATGGAACAACTATTTGATTATGAAGTTAATATAAATGATCACTTACTAGGTTATTATGAAGATAATTTGGATAGAAATAATACTGATGACTATAATATTAATGTTAATAAAATGATATTAAAAGTTGGAGATCTATTTAATAATTAGAATGAAGTTCAAGCTACAGTTGATTCATTTGCAAAGCAAAATAGTTTTGTGGCTAATAAAAGTCGTAAAGATCTTGATCTAGTTGACAAGTCTATTGTTCATCATCGTACTTATAATTGTTGGAAAGCTGAAGTTTGTCAACCAAAAAAGGTTGAAAATATTGATTTGCACTATGATAGTAGTTAACTAAAACAAATTGTAAATGAGAAGTTAGTTTTTACTTTAGAAAGCATGTAAAAAGCATAAATCTTACTAAACTTTGAAATGAATATAAATATAATTGTAATCTGGCAACTATAGAATTAACATCAAAAAACTTACGTCTTCTACAGGATATCTTGAATAAAATTAAGCATTATACTAAACATAGTCATTTAGATGCTAGTCAGCAGTATGATCTCTTTGTTAAAGAGTTCTCCAATATCTTATAAAAAAAAAGAACTTGTATAATGCAATTCATAAGTTCTGTAGTATATGAATACATGATGAATCTGATACAGGCACAATACTTTCATATCTTTTAACCTAATGTAATAAAGATCCAGATTATCTAGTCATACCACATCTTGAAAGGCAATTTAATAAACTAACTAGTCTTTTTTGGATGACTAGTCAATAGCAAAATAATCTATGGTTAAGGTTTTATGACATTGTAATTTATAACAATATAGCAAAAACTAACCAATATGAGATAGCACTTAGTTTATTTGTTGGTGTTGACAATAACTTCAAAACAAGAATTATTGCTTAGATACTAATAAAATATAAGACTTAGAATAATTATAATTGGATTTTACAATATACATTAAAAGGTTCCAATAACCTTCAGCCTAAAGTGTTATTTACTGATAGTGACCTAGCAATGATTACTGCAGTTCATATTTCATATCTGCAAACATGTCATATATTATGTATTATCACCTTTTTGAAAATATTAAAAAAAAAGCAAGAGCTAAGCTTTAGAGTGATATGATAAAATACTTTGTTACAGATTTTTGTAATATACAAAATAGTTGTAGTTAAGAGCAATTTGAAGTAAGGTATCATAATATGTTGATAAAGTATGATTCATATTATTCATATCTTGAAAAGCTCTATAATAAATATGCATCATGGGTAAGATATTCTGTAGTAAAGGTTTTTACAGCAGGAATAGAATTCATATAGCATGTTAAATCTATTATTGGTATTATTAAAAAACATGTTGATAGTAGTACCTTGCTAAAAGAATTGGTTACTGTTATTGAACAAGAATTAGAGAAGAAAGCTCAGTATACCAGAATTAAAGATTATTATAGGTCCAATCTATCTGTTAGTCTTATGTCAACTTATAACACTATATTCAAAGAAATTGATTCTATTTTAAAAGATAATTTGGCATCTATTCCATTATCTTTACAAAGAGCTCAGATGAAACAGGCTTTATTATATCAAGGAATCTTAATTACAATTGATCAAGTTAAGGAGTAAGATATTAATTATAATAATATAATTAAACAATTATATGATGCATCCCAAATTCATTTAGCTGAACTCATGACTAATATACCTTTTGATGCAATTAAAGAGCTTTAGGAGGTATCACATATAGCTTCAGCTTCAAAGCCACATTATATTATTATACTTAATGATTCATTTTTACTTTATACTTGTATGAATATTATAAGTCAAGGAATACTATGTCAGTACCAGTATCAGGTTTTTATTTAATCAAATTATGCAAAATTTTATATATTACTTCTACATACTCATTGGTTTGAATTATTTTCATCTGATACAACAAATTTTGTTACAATCTTTCAAGGGGTAAAAAGTACTACATCTATACTATTGTATTATATAAACCAAGTAAGAAACTGTGATATTTATACACCAGCTATTAGAAGTCATATTAATAAGAAGGTTCAATTTGGTACTATGATGTCTATAGCTAAAACTAGTGCTCAAATTGCGGTGTCTGAAAATGTTACTTAAGAATTAACTGGAATTCTAATATAATTTATTATGAAGTATCATCATGATACAGAATTAGGCATAAAAAATACTCTATCATTACCAAGTACTATACTACAAAAGTCTTATATTGCTAATAAAGTTATATCTACTATTACTAAAGTTACAGATTCTACATCTACAACCACTAAAATTACAGAATCTCTATACAATTTTGTGCTAATAACTTCTACTACTGATCAAGTAATATGACAACCTTTAGATAATCTTACTGTATCTAACTCAGAATATCATAAGCCAAAAGAGCAACCTTCTAAACAACTTAAATTAGCTGTTAAGGAATACTCATCATCTGTTAACAAGTTAAATAATACCAATACTGTTCTGAAAACATATAGTTATTGCTCTGATAAAGGTCATAATATTCATAGTTGCCAAAAGTATAAATCTGATATAGGTAACAAAGAAAATTTTTAGTAGTAATATTAAGGTTAGAATCAGATGTTTGTGATTGTTCTTATATGCTAGTAGTCATATTTAGAAGTTTTAAATCAGGTTTGATGTTTATTGTTGAATGTTTTGTTATTGATTATTATTAATAGCATGAAACAGTAAGGTTAGAGTTGAGATCAGATGTTTGTAATTATTATCATTGCTGATAGTTATATTTAGAGAGTTTGGATCGAATTTGATATTTATTATTGAATACTTTGTTAGTTGTCATTGATTATGCAATAAGTTTAACAAAAATATTTTTATTCAATGAGTGTAGAATCAGCTAGAGTGACTTCTGAAGTTTGGATTATATAGTATATACTATTGTTAGTAATACTATAATAGTATACATTATATAACCTGAACTTTAGAAGCTACTCTAACAGATTTTTGAATATATTAGTTTGTTTGTCAAATTGTTTAATTTTAGTTTATTTAATGACAAAGGTTTATGCTTATTTAACAGACAAACTGATCATGTGCTATTTGTTAATTTTATAATATTTGTAGCTGTTGTTATAATAGTAAAATTTACATTTTTGCTAATAACTTTGAACTACTACTCCAATCTTAATAAAACTTATACTATTGAAATTAGCACATCGAGATGGTTCTAATAAGTACAAGATTATATGATTTGGATTACAGGATCTCGAGATCGTTAAAGATTTATAAATATTAATTCATGTACAACATATGACTTAATTCTGATTGGATAATTACAACTGCGCCCAAAATCAATAATTTCTACTCCATCTACTATATCTACTATTTCTATACTTTCTACCAGATCTATCATATATATCAGATCTATTATATCTACTATTTCTCTTATATCTATTATATATATCATATATACTCACTGGTCGAATTTGGAAAATTCGGTACTCTAGATTTTAGTAGCCAATCAGCAAAAAATAACAAATATTATCAATAAATCAGCAATAGCTGAAATCTAGCTTCAAAAATTTATTATGAATGCTGAATAATAAACATTTAATTACTAACAAAAATTACTTAAAAATCAGTAGAAAAAATGCAGTAATAAAGATATCGGGCTTATGAAGACTAAAATCAGCTAAGAAATTGTTATAGCTGATTTTTGCATTACAAATAACGAATATTGTTCGAATTGTTTCTTTAATAAAAGAACTTGTAAAAAAATTGGTATAAAAATAGCTATATCGAAGATATCAGTATGTAATCAGCGTATTACAATATAAATTTGTTACAAATAATGAATATTGTTCGAATTGTTTCTTTAATGAAAGAACTTATAAAAAAATCAGCATAAAAATAGCCATATCGAAGATATCAGTATGTAATTAGTGCATTATAATATAAATTCGTTACAAATGATGAATATTGTTCGAATTGTTTCTTTAATAAAAGAACTCATAAAAAAATCAACATAAAAATAGCCATATTGAAGATATCAGCATGTAATCAGTACATTACAATATAAATTCATTACAAATATCTAATATTGTTCGAATTGTTTCTTTAATAAAAGAACTCATAAAAAAATTAGCATAAAAATAGCTATATAGAAGATATCGGCATGTAATTGGCATATTACAATATAAATTTGTTACAAATGATGAATATTGTTCGAATTGTTTCTTTAATAAAAGAACTCATAAAAAAATCAGCATAAAAATAGCTATATCGAAGATATC